TCAGTCTCAGTCTCTAGTTCTCTCTCACATATGCACGCACACACGCACGCACGTACGACCATGCACGCACGTACGCATGCATGTGCCTGCCCTCAAGCTCTGTGTTAGGGTTAGGGTTAGGGCTAGAGTCTTCACTAAGGACTAAGATTTTTCTCACTAGGAAATCGCAGAACCATACCACTCAAAGCCTCCTTGGTGGATGACTAATGCAGACAAATTCACTGACATGTGGCACTTCTCAGAAGACTGTCTTCTAATGCCATTATTTCGTTCTGTCCTCTTAAATAAGTTGCGTGCAACACCTCCTTTTCTGTGTCCTGAAGACATCTTGTTCTTAGGCCAAAACCCTCTCCCTCCCACTTGTCTGGTAAAACCCATTCCAGTATTTAAATGGGCACCTCAGAAGGGCAGAGAATATTTGGTGTAGGGACACAATCTACTACTTTTAAACTTGAATAAATAATATTTGGTGGAAGAATAATTAATTTGATAATATGCTAATATTCTACCAAAATATCTTATGCTGATGTTTTATCACACAAGGCTAATCATTTTAATATCTGGATTATGTTTTTCTTGAGAGGAGACTTCATTGAAGATGGAGGACATTTGAAAACCCGTACAACTGTTTTTCTTCTGTAATGAAAAAATATCTTCCAGGTTACTTGTGATATCAGAAAATAGAAGCTTTGAATTTTCCCTGCCCAACTCCTGTTCCCAAATTAAGCTTCCCAAATCTCTGGCGAGTATTTTACAGGCATTGCTATCAGGATCGATTTTTATTCAGTAATCAGTCCCTCTTTTGTCTGCTTAGTTTCAGAAGTAAGGTTCCGAGAACAGTTTTCTCTATTATGACAGTCACACACTTTGTGTGGGTGTGTCTCCTTTGCTGTTCTCAGATACCGACTTGTACCTTAAATAGCCTGTACAATGAATAAGATTTCTTAATCACCATGTGTTTTTATTGGATAGTACCAGCATTCAACATTGAGGAAATAACAGTTACCTTGAGGGGATTTTCCATTCCTTGGGGATGGCTTTCTGAAACTTAGATCAAGATACGGGTTTCAGGGAGCTTTTGCTTCTCCCTCATTTGAGAAGGCAGCCAGGAGCTATTCTTGATTATTCTTGCTTTAGAAAGTGGTTCAATGCTTCAGGATCCTTGGGGTATAGGAATTTTTAAAACAGAATTCTCTAAGTTTCTGCACCTCAGAACTATTTGGGAAGAAGACTTTACAAAAAACTCTCCAGTCCTCACCGAGTCCTTAGAGATCTTCATTTAACTCATCTGGAACGAGGCCCAGGGACCAGGCATTTCTAGTATAATCATAACTTGTGACTTCTAGTAAGAAAAATGTTTACAAAACTTTACCATGGATGCTTTTGGCAAAGGAATCTTGTTGGGACAAAATACCAGACACCTAACAAGGAGAAGAGGTTCGTTATGACTTGCGGTTTCAGCAGTTTAGTCCATGGTAGACTGGCTCCAAGGTGGAAGTGCTGTGGTAGATGGATGTGGCAGGAGAAAGTTGTTCAGCTCACAGCAGTGGGAGAGCCAGGGGTTCAGAGAAAGAGCCCCAGAAGAAGGGGCCAGGAACCTCGTACAGCTGACGAGGTCACAACCTCATGACCCACTTCTCCCATAAGCCTCACCTTTTCATAGGCCACTGAGGATGACATCATCAGTGCCTTAATCCTTACTTCCAGGTACCCCTCCAAGAGTCTCTTCCTTCAGGTAAATTGTCCATCAAGATTAACTAGCACAAGTTCAGCTTGTCATCATGATGCTTAAGCACATTTCCCTAAATGATACTTGATTTCCAAATAACAACAAGAGTGGAATCTTATTTCCACCTGAGATCCTGGCATTTTGCTATGTACAACCTAAAATGTACTAATCCTTTCCACAAATTCTCAACAGCCTCAGAATTGTTCAGAAGTCCAAACCCAAAGTTTCCTCTGAAACTCAAGGCAATCTTGCAGCTGGGAAGCTTTTGAAAATTCAAAAAAGAAAGCAAGTTACATAGTCCCAACATAGTGGATGAATATTTCCACTCCAAAAGGGAGAAATAGGGGGACAGAGAAGAATAAGACCAATGCAAGATGAAAACTCAGCACAGCACAACATTAAGTCTTGGAGTTCCACGTCCTGTACTGTGGCATGTGGTAGTGAGACGTGAGTCCCAAAGGGCATGGGCCACCCCAGCCCTATGGCCTTCTTTTGTGCATTCTTTGTACCCTCTCTCTTGGACAAGCTCTGCCTGTGGCCTGCAGCTTTCCTTGGCAAAATTTCCACGCTCCCGGTATCTCAGCCTTCCTTCAGGGTCCCCTGAAGCCTTTGCTACGTGCCCATAGATTTGCACCCTGCTGCACTGAGGGGTTCCTAGCAGAGCACTGACATTGTTTCCTATTTTTTCCTGGCCTCCCAGGCCTTCCTTTGAGATCTGCTCGGAAGCCTCCATGGCCCCATAACTCTTGAGCTCTGCATGCCAGAAAAAGCAGCAAGTCACGTGAACTGCATTCAGGTCTGCTACAGTCACTAGAGCGGCTGGCTTCCTGTGCACCACGGATCCTCCCAGGAGCCTCCGAATGCCCCAGTGCCCAGATGGCTGCAGACAGAAATGAACCCGGCTCAGGAGCCAGTGCCTTGGGCAGCCCCTTCCCAGATCCATGAGGATTCTCTTTTCAAATAAATGTTTACATTTCAGTCTGAACCCATGAAGGGAAGGGCCTGGCTGATTCCTGGGATGCCTTCAAGGCATCTTTGCTTCTCAGCCTGTTCAAAATACATGGTTGCTTTTTGATGCTGCTGATTTCTTCAGTGACTTCACCTCCCTGGACTCAACTTTATGAGAGGTTCTTTCTGTGCCAAACTTTAAGCTTTCCAAATTTTCTTGTTAATCTGGTCAAGTTGACAATCAAAATTAATGAGCAAGATGGGAATTTTTGCCTTTTACAAAGCTATATAATTTAACCTGTATGAGTTGACAGAAAATAAAGCACTTTTGAAGTGCACATCCGGGTCTGGTATTTTTTAAAAATTTCTATTATGAATAGAAGAATTCTCCAGATGATAGATGTATATCCCAGCAGTACTCAGATATTCAATATTCAACTAACTTTGTTGGAAATCTTTTTATTAACTATAACATAAGAAAAAAAAAAGCACATTAAGTCAGTGCCTTGAAGAAAATACAATTCCCTCTGTGTCCTTCAGGAATTCACTTTAGGAACTTCAGAAACAGTAGAATTTGCCATTGCTCCAGTGCCTTTTATAAAACGGCAGAGTATTTGTGCATGACCTTTGCGTATCCTCCTGTCTAACTCAACCATCTACACAGCTTACAATATGTAGCAGAAAGCAAATGCTGTGAAAATAGATGTGTTGAATTGCTTAGGGGATATGACAAACAAAAACATCTACGCACGTTCAGCATGGAAGCAACTGTTTTTCCACCTGCTTCCAATCCCTCACTGATGTACCCTAGAGATGGGATGAGCTACTATGTACACACAACATCATATGTAGCTACCTGCACTGAATGGTATCAGAGTCCTTCCAGGGCTTGGAGGAGGTGGTCAACTTTGCCTCAGTTCCTGTGAGTGATCCCAGGCGCTTCTGTCCGTCCTGCTTCACCTAACTTATGATATCTTGGGATGAACTCAAAACTTGAAAAGCGCACTTATCTTTTTTTTTTCCTTTGTACTTAGGACACGGTGTACAGGTTATAACTATGTAGCCGTCTGGGTTCAGCCTCCCAAGTGCTGGGATTACACAGCGCACACCACCACACCCAATCTCAATCCCTGTCTCAGTAGGCCCTGGAGAGGGGGCCGACAAGGCGGGCCAGGGGATCAAACCCTGGCCAGTCAGCCGCTGTGTCTGCCTAAGCAGGCGCTTTAATCCGCTGAGCTACTTGGCCAGCCCAGCGGTGCTTATCAAATCAAGCGCCTTTGGGGATCCACAGGGTTGCTCGGCAGGTGCACGCTGCCCCAGCACGCAGGCTTCCTGAGCACAGCAGCCGACTCCCCCCAGAAATGTTCTCCTTTTACTCTGCTTTCATGGCCACGTCAAGGACAACTTAACAGAGCAGAAACTGTATTGCTAGATCCGATATTTTTCTATTAAAAATCTAGATTACTTAGAAAAAGAGCCTTGATCTGGGGAGAGGTGGCTGGAGGCTGCGCAGACAGCGGGAGTCTGGGACGACGCCCGCGCCCTTGGCTGCAGGCACACACATGCCCGGAAGGCTCTCCGCCGCTGCACAGGCCACGGTGCGCCGCGCAACCTGGTGACCGCAAAGCGAGCCAAGCGAGAGACGCGCACGGAGGTGCGAGGACAGAGACCGCGCGTGCTGGGAGAGGACACTTCATGTGTGACACGAAGTCACAGTTCCCCCAGCTACAGGAGCCAGAGAGGAGAAAGTAATATTAGAGATGACTGCCAAAAGTTTAGACTGTGTTTACTTTGCAAACCCAGTGCCTGTGGACTAAGCTACAACCCCAGCCATTCTGAAAATTATTATTTTTTAAATTTTAAAACACAGCCTCAGTAGATTGCTAAGTGCTCAGACAGGGCTCAAACTTGTGATCTTCCTGCCTCAGCCTCCCGAGGTGGGGGGAATACGGCACACATCATTAGGCCTGGTTTTATAATTTGTAATTATGATTTCAGTTTCAAATGACAGTGCCAAACTTTTGGTTTAGAAAAGCCCAGAAGCAGCCTGTCTTTAACTTTGGCCTCTCACATTAATCACCCAGCATTTGAGTAAATGAACAATACCTGTGCTAGAGGTAAGTCAAATGCCAAATACAGGTAAGTTACTCAAAACTACATATTACTCATGGTTCTTTTTGTTTTCCAGCATTTGGCCGTTAACGATTTATACAGAAAATATCCCAAATTTATGAAAGCAGATTAATACCACCGTAGGATGAGATTAATACTAAGTAGTACTGGGCCAGGGACTTAGCTCCATGGCATAGCACCTGGCTGGTAGGCTCAAGGTCGTAAATTCAATTCCTGTTTATAAATAAATCATTTCTTATAATGGCATATTTTCTTGCCTACTCTCACAGAGCTTATCTTTGAGTAGGGGAGATGGGGTAATCAAGAGTTACACAACTGATTGGGCGACAGCTCAGTGGCATTAGCGCCTGTCTGGCAAGGGCAAGGTTCTGAGTTCAATCTTCGGTACTGCCAAAAAAAAAAAAAATAAAGGAGTTATACATTATACACAGTAAATTTTAAAACTGAGATATGTATGTATTTTCAGATCAATCAGTTTTATGGAAAGATACAAAAGAAAAATACTTCTACACTTAGAGGTAGACTTCATTGGATAGGAAAGCTTTTATTCCAATATCAGAAAATTATTGAAAGAAGATATGAAATACAATTGTGATGGATAGAACAAGTATAGAATTCTATGGTCAGAGAAGAAGGGGGGGAGAAAGAGGGAGAGGGAGAGGGATCAGGGAGAGAGGGAGAGAGGGAGGCAGAGAGAAGGAGAGAGGGAGGGGGGAGAAAGAGAGAGAGAGAGAGAGAGAGAGAGAGAGAGAGAGAGAGAGAGAGAGAGACAAACAACAGCAGGGCAGGAAGGAAAGGGTCCAGCCAAGAGTTTGTGGGCTTGGTATAGCTTTGTTTTCCTCCCAGGGAAATGGGTTACTCCTAATGTTTTTAGGGTCAGTGAGAAGTCATGAGAGACACGATCATACTTTATTGTGGTGAAATCCCTTTGGCTATATTACAGAATAATTAAATGAGATCTTTTGATTGTGATCTTTTTAGAATTTCTGTTAATGGATAGAGGTTAAAATAAGTTCAACAGGGGCCGGGGAGATGGCTCAGTGGAATAAGTGCTTCCCTGGCAAGCACAAGTGCCTGAGTTCAATCCCTGGTTCTGCAAAAAAAAAAAAAAAAAAAAAAAAAAAGAGAGAAAAAAAAGAAAAAAGAAAAAAAAATAAGTTCAACAAATGCATTCTTTCCCTGTCACTAACAATACTGAGCTGTAAAATTTCAGTTTGTGTGATGGGATGATTCTGCACATGTGCAATAAGCAGTTTTCCCATCCAAGTACTAACCAGGCCGGACCCTGCTTAGCTTTGAGATCAGACAAGATTGGGTGCATTCAGGGTGGTATGGCTGTAGACAATAAACAGTTTTCAAATTGTATTTTTTAATTGAAAAATTACAAAATGAAGTCATAAATATCTGGTACGTCAAATTCCATGAGACAGTTTCACGTGCAATTTAAATAAAAATATAGTTTCTTGATTATCGGACTGTAAATATAGGTGAATGCAAGAGCTAAATGCAGGTATAATAGTTAAGAAGAGTATATAACAAATTACTTTAAAATAAATAAGTTAATAAACAAACATAAGTATTAGCTTCAGCCTCCACCTTTATTTCAGTTGCTCATAAGACGTTAGTGACTATAGCTTCTACTTTGGAAATAAATTTTATTAGTCATTTCATGAAGAGTTTTAAAAAGTAGAAAAAAATTGAAATAAAATGGCTGCAAAGAAACTGTCAATATTTTTCTTCTCTGCATGACAATTTTGTGATCATCTTGTATGTGAGGGATGTAAAAGAACATGTGGAATAAGTGTGTTCTGACTGGAAGCGTGCATGTAAAGGATGGGCCAGCATACAGTGTTGCTGCGAAGTTGCTTGATTTTATTTAGTTTGAAATTTGGTTACACAATTTTTTTTTTTTTTTGTATTTTTAGGGAAAGGTCTACAGGATGTTCACGGTATCACTAGTAGATCGGACTCACAGTGATCTGTCTGTTTATAGCCTCCCAAGAGCT